CCACAGGGACTGCAGCCTATGCCGTCGCCGGCGACTCACAGCAGCCCAGCTCCAGGTTGAGCTGTTGTTCAGCATCTTAGCTGTGGAGGGCAGTGTCACCGGCCCTCATATGTGGGATCCGAACCGGGGCTCCCTGGCATCCCAAGCGAGCTCGCAACCATTGCGCCACTCGGCCGGCCCGAGATTTTTACTTTTTAGAAACACACATACTTCCACATCTATGTGATACTTCTCACCATACTGTCATCTTGTAAGCCTGCATTTTATTTTAAGCACTCCAGGTTTGTGTTTAAATGACAGTGCCTTAAAAAAATTGTGCTGCACTTTTCCTCCGGTTACTGGAAACATAATAGGTGTACATACATTAAATATATTCTTACAAATGTTCAACTCATGTTTACCAGCTGGAATGCTTTTACTTAATGTGTGGGTATTTTGCATTGTGATATTTAATCAGGACATTAGCAAGAGTAGGAGACTGTTGGTTTAAGACAAGTTTAAGATCCACTAAAATTAATTGTTGTATGTTTGTCCTTCTGTGGCTGCAGAAGCCTCATATTTTCTTTGGACATCATTAGGTGTCTTTGCTCTGGAAGTATAACTTTAATGCTATATGAATTTTTCCATTTTTCTAACACTGGTATGCTCTGTGCATTCACCATTCCACTGAAATGATTTATTTCATTTATATTAATTTTGGTTACAACTCTAACTGATAGAGATGCTTCAGGGTGTTTAGGTCCACATTCTACTTTCAGGCTATATATTTTGTTTTCATAATTTGTCTATGTAGACAACCATCTTTTCCTGCAGCCCAATGCAGGCATCCTTCTTTTGTCTCTTATTATATCTTTGTTTTGAAGTCTATTTTATCTGCTGTAAGTATTGCTACCCCAGCTTTTTTTCATTTCCTTTAGCATGAAATATCTTTTTCTATCCCTTTACTTTCAGTTTATGTGTTTTTCAATATGAAATGAGTCTCTTGTAGACAGCATATGTATGGGTCTTGTTTTCTTACCTATTCAGCACCCTATGTATTTTGATTGAAGCATTTAATCCATTTACATTTAAAGTGATTATTGACAGGTACATAGTTATTGCCATTATTCATATTTATGTTCTTTTTTTTTCATTTTTCTTAAAGTCCCTCTAACATTTCCTGTAATACTGGTTTGGTTGTGATGACCTTCTTTAGTTTTTTCTTGTCTGGGAAGCTTTATAACTCCAGTTTTAAATGATAGCCTTGCTGGGTGGAGTAGTCTTGGTTGTAAGTCCTTGCTTTTCATCACTTTGAATATTTCATGCCAATCCCTCCTTGCCTGCGAAGTTTCTGTTGAGGAGTCAGCTGACAGTGTTAAGGGAGTTCCCCTGTAGGTAACAACTACCTTTCTCATGATGCTTTTAAGATTCTCTCTTTGTGTTTAAACTTTGACATTTTAATTATGATGTGTCTTGGTGTGGGCTTCTTTGGGTTTATCTTGTTTGGGACTTGCTGCACTTCTTGCACTTGTATGTCTCTTTCCTTCGCCAGATTACAAATGTTTTTTATCATTATTTCTTCAAATAGGTTCTCAATTCCTTGCTCTCTCTCTTCTCTTTCTGATACCCCTATGATGTGAATGTTGTTTTCCTTCTGGTACCCCTATCATGTGAATGTTAGTATATAAATCCCTTAAACTATGTTGTCCCAGAGATCCCTTAAACTATTCTCATTTTTTTGGATTGTTTTCATTTTTGCTGCTCCTTTTGGATGTTTTCTACTACCTAGTCTTCCATATTGCTGATTCAATCCTCTGCTGGCCTGCTGCCACTGAAAGAAACTTTGGTGGTATTCAGGCCAATGCCGGCTGCCCTCCACTAAAAGAGCATCTGGTGATGCATGGGCAAAAAAGCCAGCTGCCTGCCACTGAAAATATTTCTGGAGATGCATGAGTTGTGTGGGACAGGGTCTCAGGGAGTCATCAGGGTGGGGAGATTGATGTTCACCAGGCTAATGCAGATTCAGATTTGGCTGTATAGGGGGAAGGCTCAACACAGGAAAGATGGCACTTGCCAGCTGGCTGTGGCAGGAGGGCTTAACACAGGGACAATAGTGGCTGTTCCTCAGCCCTTGTCCTGAAGCCACACCACTTAGTTTCTCTTTGTATCTGGTGCCCTCCGAACCACACTGTCCCTCTGCCAGAGCCCAGGGGGAGTGCCTGTGAGTGAGTGAGTCTTGCACATGTCTTTTAAGAGGATGCCTGGGTTTCCACCAGCCTTCTGTGTCACCTGGATGGATGGAAACCCCTGCTGATTTTCACAGCCAGATATTGTGGGTTCTTCTCTTCCCAGAACTAGTGCTCTGGGCTGGGGAACCTAGTGTGAGACCCTTTGCTCCTCATGGAGGGACCTCTGCAGCTGAGATTCCCTACAGATTCTCAACCACCACACACAGGTGTGGAACCAGCCTGTTTTGCTTCTTTGCTGCTCCTACCGGTCTTGACATTGCTTCTTCTGTATATCTTTAGTTATAGGACTTTTGCTCAGCTAGTCTTCAGATGGTTCTCCAGGTTGATTGTTCTAAAATTTATTTGTAATTTTGATGTGATCATGGGAGGAGGTGAGCACAGCATTTACCTACTCCACCATCTTGACTGGTATCCTCTATAACAACCTATTTTAAACTAGTAACAACTTAACTTCAATAGCATTCCTAAATTTTACAGTTTTACTTCTACTTCCCTTACATTTAAGGTTACTGATGTTATAATTTATGTCTTTTTTATATTGTGTATCCAATAAGTGTTTTGTAATTGTGGTTATTTTTGCTGTATTTGTTTAACTCTTAAGTTAGCATTATAAGTGAAATATGTACCACTATTTTCATATTACAGATTCTAACTTTAACCATATATTTACCATCACCAGTGAGATTTTGGTACCTTTTTATGTTTTATAATATTAACTAACATCCTTTTACTTCCACTCAAAGAACTTTCTATAACGTCTTTTGTAAGCAGGAGTAATGGTAATAAACTTCATCAGCTTTTGTTTGTTTGAGAAAGTATCTCTACTTCATTTTGGAAAGACTGCTTTGCCAGGTATAGAATTCTTCTTTGATAGTTTTTTTCCATCAATATTTTGACTATATCATCTAATTCTCTCCTGGCCTAAAAAGTTTCTGTTAAAAATTCACTGGTCATCTTATGGGCATTCCCTTGTATTTAACTTGTCTCTTTTCCGTTGTTGCTTTAAAAATTCTTTGTCTTTGACAATTTAGTTTAATGTGTCTCAATGTAGCCTTCTTTGGGTTCATCCTATTTGTGATCCTTTGGGCCTCTTAAATCTGTGTGCCCATTTCTCTCCCCAGGTTAGGAAAGTTTTCAGCCATTATTGCTTTAAATAAACTTTGTGTGTGTGTGTGTGTGTGTGTGTGTGTGTGTGTGTGTGTGTGTGTGTATATATATATATATATATATATATATATATATATATATATAAATTCTTCTTCTGGAACTCCCATAATGTGGATATTGTTTCTTTTCATTGTGTCTCATTAATCCTGTAGCTTTTCTTCACTCTTTTTCATTTTTCCTTTTTGTCTCCTCTGATGGGATAATTTCAAGTGTCTTGTATTGTAAGTCACTGATTCTTTCTTCTATATGGTCAAGTCTGCTTTTGAAGCTCTCTAT